ATATATATATATATATATATATATATATATATATATATATATATATATATACATACATACATACACATATATATTTTATAATTAGCTATAATATAAAATAAAATAAAAAATTATCCATTCAAATTTGGGAGTAGTTTCAAGTTGGAGTTTTAAAATTATTTTAAAATAACCAAATAAAGAAACTTTCAATTCAAATGAAAAATTACAAAAATATAAAAATATTGTAGCTAATTTATATATAAGATAAGAATATATATATATATATATATATATATAACTATTTATCTCTTTATACTTTTGACGTTATAATTTAGTAAAAAAAATTACTTTATTTAAATTTAGCTATAATAAAAAATATCCATTCAAATTGGGGAGTAGTTTCAAGTTGGAGTTTTAAAATTATTTTAAAATAAAAAATAAAGAAACTTTCAACTCAAATGAAAAAAAATACAAAAATATAAAAATACTGTAGCTAATTTATATATAAGATAAGCATTATATATAATATATATATATATATATATATATATATATATNAACAACCAATTTATTTGATTACTATATGATTTGTATCCTTTAATTTTTTATTGATTGTATTATATTTCTGCACGCTATATTAAATAATAAAATACAACTAATATTTATTAAATTTATATAATATATTAGATCATAATTTTATTAGATTAATATTCTGCCAAATTTCTGCGCATCGCGCGGGTTGTTATACTAGTTTGGATAATGAGAGCTCCATACTTTTGCTGTACAACTCCTCCACAAGAGTATCATTAGTACTTCCCCCTCTAGAATTTCTACCAGAGGGAAATTCTATTTTGGGATTGGGTTATGACTCAACCAGTGGTGAGTATAAGATCCTTCATATTCGGGATGGCTTAGGTGGTTGAAAATTACCTAGTGAAATTCTCGCGCTGAAAGGTGGCTCCTGGAGAAGCATCGATGAACATCCTCGTGGCATTTGCACTGTGTTGTTAGGTATGCGATCTTTGCCATTTGTACATGAGGCATTTCATTGGATCGCTATTTTGGGAAAGTGTTTCGTGGTGGTTTCGTTTAGTATTTCAAATGAAGTGTACGGAGAGATACCCTTGCCAAAGGAAATGTTAAGCTTGAAGGGTAACACGTCTATTGGCATTTCAGTGTTAGAAGGAATGGTTTGTATTTATTCTAACTAGTATACGTACCCGCGCGATGCGCAGATTGTTTCAAAGAAAAAAAAATGATATAGTAGAAACATGTCTTTATTATAGACTAAATTTAGCGATCACATTCAAAAGAATTAAATCAAAAAACAAATATACGAATTTCATAGGAGTGTATCTATGCGAGGAACCACCAATATCTATGCACAGAAACATGATTAGCAGAGAAGGTTGGATAACTGTAATAAGCCAAAAGATAAAGTAGATTTCCAAAAATGCACTTCATGTTCATATACACATCGTCCATAGTTGCAGGGAAAGTAAAATAATGATACAAAATCTCAACCAATAATCAAATATATATTGATAGTAGATATAAAGTAATCGAGAGTTTTGTTATAGTCAATTTGAATAAACACCAAATCCAAGAGAACATATGTGCGATAGAAGGCAACAACGTTAAATTTTTACTATTAATTACAACATTTTAAAACTAAATTAGCAATTTTTGTGTAAATTTGGATAGCTTAGTTGTTACAACATACTGGAGTAATGCTACAGAAGTACTTGGCTTTAAAAAGGATAAGTCCACCTGAAAAAGCAGAAATTTATCTCAAGTTATTATCAGAAAAACAAAGAACAATTATACATATGTGTAATTCACAGTAAGTAAGACATCACCTTTTGTTGTGGTGTACTTTGGATCAGAAGTATATGAGAACATGAGCAAGTCAGTCATGTTGGTTGATGATATAAACGTTGGCTCACATGGATAACTAAGATCTTGGAAATACCCAATCCTTGTTAGCATAATCGATATAACATTTTTAAGTCTTAGATGAAATGCATACATTATAAATATTAATTCTCATCAAGGTTTTATTTACGGACATAACAGTAATGTTGTTGCAGTCGCAAACACCTTCATCAAAAACTACATGTTCCTTTACAGCTGAGGCAAAGTTCTCTGTTGCATACTTAAGGTAACTTTTTTCATCTGTAAAAACAAATGTATGTTGCAGATTATAATAAGTAGAACATTTGGTACTCTTAATGAAATAAAAGAATGTGAAATGTTAGAAGATTTTACGAACAATATGTTGCCTTTATTGCTCCAGGTGAATCCCCCCTCAACCACACATACATAGTTGCATAAAAAGATGGAAACACTTATTACAACCATTCTAACGACTATCGCTGCTGAAAGTCCACCAACACGAATAACTATCTACATCAGAAACATCTCGACTGAATTTACACAACAAAGATATTTCTTTGAGCTGCAAAAATTTATAAAAAAATACATTTATCAGCCTTTCGGCTTTGATCAAGTGAAGAAGATGGGGTTTTGCTTAACTCGCAAGCCCACGCCTTTTCATCTCTGCCCCCACCCAACACACCCACCCAACACACCTAAAAGAAACACAAGAGTGGAAAGGATCTCTAACCTTCTCATGATCCCAGATGTTCAGTATAAAAGGATCTCGCTAGATTTAGTTCCAACTCATGTGTTATTTCTTCAATTCTTGGGAAAATGAGTTAGATTAAATCTATCATTTAATTAAATTTTCTGCAAAATTAGTGTGCTGTGTATGACTCTCAAGTACCATGTAAGCTCTACAAACACAAAACAATGATGCAATAAAGTGAATAGGCAACTTCATGGAGAAAAAATTAGACTACATAGTTAGTTGGTCAGAAGCAAACCTTAGACATCAAAAGAATGTTCTTTGCATGTTCTTTATAATTTCCTCATCGTCAGTAAGCGTAACAACTTTTAAGACTTCATCTTTATTGTGATTGTTGAAACTCTTAACCTCAACTTTAAACATGTACCTTTTTTCAACAATATTTTAAATTTCTATTGTACATGAAGAGTCGTCTGCAGCATCAGAAGTCTAGCAAAAAAAGACATAATGAGTGTGGTTAACAGAAGCTACAACATCAAAAGTAAAAAGTAAATGTAATATGGTGTACATATTTTGTTGGTTCTTTATTAGAATCGATTAAATTGTTATAAAGATGATGCTTTAATTGTCATAGTAAGTGTTTTATTAAGCATAAGCTAAATTCGACGAATAATGCACTAAATAAAACTAGTAATATGAAAAGAGTAAAGTAGAAGATGGGAAACTAAAATGAAATTATAAGTTTTCTGATGCAAAATGCCTCTTCGTTCATAGCCTCACTTTTACAGTCCATCAAATGTTTCACCTACTCATCAAGTAATTATAAAAATGTTCTTCAACAGGTCGTCATGACTCATGAACTATCATGATCCGATGAAGAGTAGCACTACTGGGGCTCCCCTATTAGTTGGTAGAGCTTAATCACATAATTGTTTTCATTGTCCTGAATAACAAATCATTTAAGTGAATATTTTGTGTTAAACTCTTTCGACTCTTCATACTTCTTACTGGACTCAACCTTGTACATATGTTTTCAGTGTTAAGCTTATGTGATTCTTCACTACCAGTTAAACATCTCCAATGATCTCATAGAGTTTGAAAAAGGGTTGTCAGGCCTGTCGCGATCCGGATTTTTCCAAAGCCTTAGAATACGAACCTTTAACTTCCAATTCATTGACTTGCTGTTTATTTCACTAACGAAATTGATTTCAGCCGCCATTATATCATGAAATAGACAGAGGTATTTGTAAATATAAGTAGAAACTAAAACTTCACGAAAATTATATGTTAAAGGAATACAATCTCAAGTGGAATAAAGATTGTTCATAAAATACAAATTATACCAATCACCTCTTGTACTGTAGAATTGCTGTTTGATATTGATAATAGGTGAATTTGACTATAATCTCACCTTAAATAATCACCTTCTTGTGTAGTTTTAATGCTAAAAGTGATGACAAAATGCTCTTATTAGTGCTTTTCATGATTTGTAGGTGATATATGTATAAAGACGGCTAAGGAGCAGTTTTGGAGTCAAAAGTGATGAAAAAGAGGCCAACTGTGAAATTTCCCAAGTGACCCGTGCAAAAACAGGCCGAAGATTCAGAGAACTGGATCCACCGCGGTTCCACCGCGACCGCAGCAGAACCGCAGTGGGAAGCAGCTGCAGAAGATTGAGATTCCGCGAGGGTGTTTGGCCGCGGTTCTACCGCGACCGCGGCGGAACCGCGGCAGGCGCAGTAAACTTCAGGGACCAAAGTGTCAATTACGGGACTTTTAGACCTAGACCCTATTTAAAACATTAGACTTCGCCCAAGAGAGGCATGTATTGATTTTTTAGGTTTCTTAGCAAGGAAAAACATTGGGAGAAAATACTCTAAACTTCTTTCTTCTTTTCATTTGATTTTATGATGAATTCAAGCTTAGTTTATTTTCTCATAGCCATGAGTAGCTAAATTCCTTGTCTAAGGTTTTGATGGAACCTATTGGGTGATGAACTTCTTGTTTATGTGAATACAAATTGCTAGTTTAATCTTTATTTGTTCAACTTCGTGTTCGTTGTAGTTAATTGACAGGATCCTCAATTAGCTGTGCCTATTTAGTGTGCATAACTTGGAAAAGAGTGCATATATAGGGTATTGTTGAACAACACCACTCCTAGATTATTAGAGGAATCTATAATTGCGGGTTTAAAGGCTGGATTAGGGATAACGAAGCCTTGGGTGTAATCTGAAGTGAGCTGTGCTAAATAAATTAAGCTAGTGTATCTCGGGAGAGTGCAATAGTAAATTACTGTGATTACTCGGGAGAGATTTACGGTAAGATTAGCGTTCATGATTGATAGAGATGTGTTGGTAAATTTGTATGAGCATAAACAGAAGGGATTCCATCAATAGGGGAAATCATTGCCTTAGCATTTTTCTCATAATTGTTTACTACCTTATTAGTTTAGTTTACAGCTATTTAGTTACTTGCAAGCTAGTTGTTAAAGAACACTCAACTGAGATTTGAATATTTGGGAAGCTGGTTCTGAAGACTTAGTGGGTCTGAAGATAGCGGTTGATAGGTTAACTCTCTGTGGATTCGACCCTGGGCGTAATACTCGGGTTATATTTGCAACGTCCGCAGAGTCTTTTTTTACAAGGCATAGTTGGGCGTGATCAAATTTTGGCGCCGTTGCCGGGGAGTTAACGGAATTATCAATTGCCATTGACAGAAATACAAAGATTCTTGTTGTAGTCAGTTTTCTCTCTACCAACTTTTTCATTGAAAATTTGACGGTTGTTGATCTGGGTGCACAGGTGCATGCCTAGAAATTCTACGAGGACTGGAGAACTGCTTGAAGGACTCTCGGACCCCGAGAAGACATTCCGGGCATTGAATCGTGCTAACAAAAGACTTCAACAATCACAACAAATACACCAACTCGAAATTGACATGGGCGACATAAACGACCCCAACGTGAACGTCAGGAATGAGCAATTGGCACCTCCTGTGCCTGAGGGTGCACTTTATGACTGGGCACAACCCACAGTTGACAATCTGGCCACTGCCATTATTGTGCCTGCAATACAAGCTGAATCGTTCCAGATCACAAATAACATGCTACACTTGTTGCAGAACAAGGGACTTTCTTCTGGGACACAAACAGAAGACCCGCAGCAACACTTAAAGAACTTCCTGTCTATTTGCAAAACTCAAAGGCAACCGAACGTGACTCCGGAAGCAATCAGATTATTATTGTTTCCATTCTCGGCGACAGGAGCTGCTCAGGTTTGGCTAAACTCGCTTCCCATAAACTCTATAGCAACTTGGGATGAGTTGGTCAAGCAATTTCACAACAAGTTCCATCCTCCCAACAAGACCGCTCAACAAATTGATGAGATTGTGAGTTTCAAACAGAAACCAATGGAGACACTACACGAGACATGGGGCAGGTTTAAAGGAAGGTTGGTTATGTGTCCCCACCATNTGGAGAATATGTAGGTGGAGGAGGGGAATACGTTGGTGGTGGTGGTGGTGAGTATGCAGGCGGAGGAGGCGAGTAAATTGGTGATGGTGGCGGTGGCAAATATGTAGGTGGAGGAGGGGAGTACGTTGGTGGTGGTGAGTATGCAGGAGGAGTAGGCGAGATAGTTGGTGCTGGTGGTGGAGGTGGTGAGTATGCAGGCGGTGGAGGCGAGTAAATTGGTGATGGTGGTGGTGGATAGTATGTAGGTGGAGGAGGTGAGTACGTTGGTGATGGCGGGGGTGATTGTGCATATGCAAGTGGAGGAGGTGAGTAAGTTGGTAGTTGTGGTTGCCTACGGGGAGAAGGTGGTAGATGTCTTGGGGGTGAAGGTTGATGAGTAGGTGGTGCATGTCGATGAGTGGGTGGTTGTGGTTGATGTCCACGTGAAGGCGGTGATGGTGTTGGTTGTACGTGTGTAGGTGGAGGAGGTGAGTACGTTGGCAAGGGTGGGGGTGATTGTGGCAGTAGTGACAGGTTGGAGGAGGTNAATTCAAATTTTAAAAAGAGAAACTAATTTTACCTAAAATAACTAATTTGTCCTACAGTTGCCACATGGCATTTTATATGTGGAACATTTGGTAAATTTTTAGGGCAGACTTCTTTCCTTTTAAATAAATATAGACAACTAATTTGATAAAAATGTGAAATATGTTACTGGAATCCTGGGCAGAAGAGTTCGTGGGTAAGGAATTGATATCGTGGTGAGACATCGTGGTCGTGGGATTGAGGTGCCTAATTTGTAGGATGAAAATTTTAGGGCAAATAGATGAAAATGGCGTTCCCAATTGTCGTTTTTTAAGGTTTCGAAATGTATGTATAAACCTGTTTAATAGGAATGACGTTTTCTTTGGAAAAAAACATAGAAACCACTTCTTCTTTTTTTAAAATATAGAAAAACGTACAAACTACTTCTTTTTTCTTTTTTCTTAAATATAGAAAACCTAATTAATTGTTTTCAAATTCAAATTTTAAAAAGAGAAACTAATTTTACATAAAATAACTAATTTGTCCTAAAGTTGCCACATGGCATTTTATATGTGGAACATTTGGCAAATTTTTAGGGCAGACTTCTTTCCTTTTAAGTAAATATAGATTCTACTCATCAGAGGAACGAAACTTTTAAGTTATGGGTATTGAAAGAATATGGTGTCGAGGAATCTTGGACTGGATTGTTAACTATAGAAGATCCTTGGATTTTTAATTTCGTACCGAAATATCGTTTTGCGGATGGTGAAGTGCTATTCCGGTGGCTTCTTTCTCAACATTCTGGGAGTGGGTTTAGGACACCCAGTGGACCATTTGTATCATGGCCTCGATGTGATACCATTCAGAATGGATGCGCTTTTACAGAAAGCTTAATCTCTCCAAAATCGCTTACTTATTAATTTCTTATGTATGATCGATGCACTTTTTCTTTTTTCCCCCAGTTATCATGTTACAACCTCGTATTCTTATTAGTTTATCGATTGTCCACCAGTTTTTAAGGTTTCAAGATGTATTTACTAAAGCTGTTTTTTTGTGTGAGAAAAGCAGGAGTCTCCTAACCATATTACTTCTTCAATGGGAGGAACAGACTGTCAGCTTGTTTGAATGTGGGAAATTGAGAAGAGTGCAATGCTTCTAATATCATTGTATGGGTCAGAATTCGACCCTATAATAATCAACGGAGCTAATCATTTTTCCTGGTTAATTCAAGTTTAATAAGTGGTACGACGACTCATAATTAATTACGCTTAACGACCCCCTAAGATGATTAATACGGCTACGACCCATCTGCTATCCCTAAGATAATACCTCTATGTGGTCCTAGCCACCAAAAGCCCAGCTGATGCAGCTCACAACTATATATACCAAGAAAGGAAACCAAGAAAGGGGTTCCTCTCTTTCCCCATGGGGACTCTCCAAACAAAGAGAGAGAAAGAGAGAGAGGGAACGACAGATAAGAAAAAGACAACCTCACAAAGAAAGGCAACATAATTGTAAGGCTCTGAACCTCTCCATGGAGAGGCAGACCACACCATTATCATCAATAAAAGTTGTCAATATTTCCCATCCTAATTGGAGATATTCTTAGTTATTCCTTTTCGTTATTTGGTTCTTGGAATATTACGACTTGCTATGATTGGTCCATAATTTATGTATACTATTTTGTATTCACAAGAGTATATGATAACTTTTGAATCAAACAATTTGGCGTCGTCTGTGGGGATTTCCTAGCAAGNCAAATTTGTCCTCCAATGTTACCCTAGCTATAGTAATTGAAATTTGCTAAAAAAGATAATTCGAAGGTATTTTGTCGATTTAAATTATTCGGGTTATCTTTATCTGTAAGTGCCTCTTAATTGTATCGTTATACAGGAAAATGTTACTAGTAATGTCTACTCTAGCCACTCTCGTGTAGACCCCTTCCCTTATTTAGTTTTTTAAAGTTTTGATCGTTCTTTGTCACAATTTATCCCCAGCATAAATACTATTTGAAAATCAAATTTGTTTTTACTTTACTATAAGCTGCACTGTTCTAACAAGACAAGTTTAAAAAAAAAAAAAAAAACTGAATTTTTATATTGTTTCATGATTTTTACAAGCAAATTTTATATATTTAAAGTTAAAGAAACTGAAATCAATGCAAATATTAACCCCATTTTGAGATGTCAAAACTCAAAATATACCCGGTAAGCACACCATCCAAAGACAGATTTTTACATGGATGACACACCAATGTAAACTTTGCGATATTTATATGCATTGAATTAACTTAGCAGAATATTGCAGATAAATACAGAGCGATCCTCATGTATCAAGATATAATCAGACCTTTCTATAACAGCATCCTTATATAATAACACTTCTTTATAAAAACCAAATTTTTCCGGAACCAAATCTCATGTTCTATAATGATATATGTTTCTATATCAGCAATTCGCTATAACATCCAATAATATTCGGAATAAACGATATAGAGAGATGTGACTGTACAACAATAATCAGTCATCCGTGTAACTCACTAATACACTATAAATGAATGACCCATTTCTGACTTATTATTAAAAGAAATTAATGACCCATCTTTTGCTGTGCTGTTGTCAAACTAAGGACATTCAGTGCAATAATATGTTATGCAACTTAAAGAGGAGCTGCAAGTTTCATCATCAGCAGCAACAAGAACGTGGTAGCAGCCGAAATGCCCAGATTCCTGCTATGATGTTTTCTTGCCCACGCTAGCTCAGGATCTTGAAAGCTTTATAACCTCTCNAACAGTTGAACTGGACTCAGGCCATGTGACCTTACGCCAACAAATTCAACTACGGTTGAACCAAGACTCGGGCTATGCGCCCTCGCCTTCAAATAATTGATAAAGTTCAACAACAGTTGAACTGGGACTCAGGCCATGCGCTTTCACCAACAAATTCAACTACGGTTGAACCAAGACTCGGGCTATGCGCCCTCGCCTTCAAATAATTGATAAAGTTCAACAACAGTTGAACTGGGACTCAGGCCATGCGCCTTCGCCAACAAATTCAACTATGGTTGAACCAAGACTCGGGCTATGCACCGTCGCCTTCAAATAATTGATAAAGTTCAACAACAGTTGAACTGGGACTCAGGCCATGCGCCTTCGCCAAAAAATTCAACTACGGTTGAACCAAGACTCGGGCTATGCACCCTCGCCTTCAAATAATTGATAAAGTTCAACAACTGTTGAACTGGGACTCAGGCCATGCGCCTTCGCCAACAAATTCAACTACGTTTGAACCAAGGCTCGGGCTATGCGCCCTCGCATTCAAATAATTGATAAAGTTCAACAACAGTCGAACTGGGACTCGGGCCACGCACCTTCGCCGACAAACTCGTCAAAAACTCAATCACATCGAGACACGGGCTAAGCACCCTCGCCTTCCAAGTAAGTACGCCCGACTCAAGCTAAAGTCAGAGACACGTATAATTCGGCCTCGGTCGGACCACAAGGCCGTATTCTCATTATCACGGCCAGTAGTCCGACCACGCCCGAACTGGGACTAAGGCTAAACGCCACCACCCCCGAATGGGAGGTCCGACTCGGTCACGCCAAGTCAAAAAGGAAAGTCGCCAACATCCGAAGGTTAACACACCCACCCAAGTCAAATATTAAAAGCAAGCTGCCCCCTCAAACGCGGGCAAAACAAACACAAGACAAATAACGGGAGGCAAATTCCTTTTTATTCATAAAACAATCGCGGGTTATTCCCGCTTACATCCGGCCGAAAACCGGTCAATGAAAATAAAAAAAAAACAAACAAAACAAAACAACAAACGCCAAACAGCGAAAAGAGAAAAAAAAATTACTCTCTATTCGGCGCCATCTGCGTTACCGCCTGCGCCCTCCGCGCTCCCGCCTGCGCCCTCCGCACTACCGCTTGCGCCCTCCGCGCTCCCACCGGCACCATCATCGACCCCTGGTGTCGCTGCGTCAAAACCGTATTCCATACGGGCCTCCCGAGCCCTTTGACGTGCCCCCTCGAAAGCGGCTTCGATCACGATACCGGCCTCCCACAGATTCTTGTACACGTCCCGCTGGGCCTCAGCATAAACCCAAATTTCGCAGGTTTGACCAGAGAAAGCGGACTGCTCTCGAAGACGCCGGTTCTCTTCCTCTAAGACCACAACCTGCTCCGCCGCAGCCTGAGCACCCCGCTCAAGAACACCTATCCGCTCCTCAAGACTCGCCTCCCTGAAGGCGGCAGCGGCCCTTACCAGCGACAACTGGGACTCGCCGGCACGGACGGCCCCCTGCAACTCCTCAGCTCTTGTCGAGGCATCATCCAGCTGACGCTTCAAGGTCGCAATCTCCCCCTCCAGTGCGGCCACCTTCGTACTCCACTCCGATGCGGCCTCCGTCACCTTGGCCAGACATAGGCACTCGCACTCGACTGAAGCCCTCCTACCGGCCTCGAGCTCCTCGTCCTTTCGGCGGAGCTGCGCTTCTAGGGCGTTCACCCGGCCAAGCGCCCGTTGTGCCTGAAGCTCCCTCCTCGCCAATTCCTCGACTAGAGCTCGGCTACGGGGGTCGTTCCTCAAACGCACACGCATTGCCCTGCACCTGTCCCGGTAGCGTCGATACTTCTCCAACACCCGCAAAAATACCGCCGAGCGAACGTTAGCTCGGCGGATGCTGTCTACCTCCAGCAAGTAAGCCTACAAAACAAAGACAACAATTTAAGCAGAAAATAAAACGAGGTAAAAAGAAAACGAATAAACCTTTCCTTTTTTGAGAACATACCCTCATGCCCATCACGGCCATTTCATTCATCAGCCCAATATCCGTGACTTCCCTCAGCGACTCGTTCTCTGTTGCCGAGCACAGCTGCCCAAACTGCGACACTAGACTCGAGCCTAGTAGCAGCAAATTAGAATCCATGGGAACCTCGATGCGGCGCGGCCTCCCCTCCGAGTGGACAATCGCATTTGTGAAGCTATCTCGGAACATGCGGACGTCCTCAGGGTCCAAATCCGATTCGGACCCGGATCCTTCTCCCGCACTTCTCCTCCTCCTCCCGCCGCATCCGCCGATGGGACACTTGGTCCACCGGTTTCAACGATCACTGAAAAAGCCCCCCCTCCCCCTCCCCCCATCTCAACCATGGGGGTCGATGACTGAGCCGCCAAAGCAACAGTTCCTTCGCGGCCTGAGCCGACCTGAGCGTCATCCGCCCTTGATTCGTCCTCAGGGGCAGGCGCTGCGGTCGTACCCTCCCCCGCCTCCGAAGGGGGGGAATCCACATTAATCACTACAGGGGGAACGGGCGCAGCCACTGCGGGAGGAACCGGAGTAAATGCAACCCTACGCCTGATCAAGGGCCTCTCCTCCTCTTCGCACGAGACGACCCATCCCGAGGGCGAACGGCCCTCGATGGCCCTTCGTCCCGAAATAGGGGCCGTGAGGGGGAAGGAGCCGCAGAATACTCGACCGATGCCGCCCTCGGTACACGACATGGCACCGGCGCCGCTAAAAATCTAGCAATCGCACCAGGCCGCCGGAAGGCCAGCTGAGGAGCCCTGCCACGATTCACCCTCCCTATAGCAGAAAAACAAAGTTAGCAAGAGGAACCCTACAACCATGAACCAAGCAAAGTAAGGGACGAACTTCTCACCTACGGCCAGCCCACGGCCATGTCTTTCCCAGAACGACGCCCACGTGCGAATCCTTTCGGTGTGAGGGAGCACGGCTTCGAGCCACCCACGCATTCCTGCCAGCAAGGTCGGCGGCGACCTCTCGGCTGCAGAAGCAACAACAAGGCGACATTAACGTAAACAGAACAAAAAGGGGAAGCAAGGAACAAAACTGATTATCTCGGTAAAAGTAACTCACGTGCATGGTTCCAAGCCTCCGGGAACCCTGAAGGGGACGCCACTAGATGCTCGGTTCTGATGTAAAAGAAATGCTCGAAAGGGCGGGCCTCGACCTCGTCCTCCAGCATGGCCATCAGCCCTCTCGACCCACGAGGGCACGCCCGAACCATGGTACCTCGCACTCGTTGGGGAGCATAAAGGGCGAGTACGTGCTGCAACGTAACCACCCTGCCGGCCAGTTCCCCATATTTCAGGAACATCGCCAATAGCTTGTATAGAGAGGGGGTGAGCTGGCCCGGGCAGACCCCGTAATAGCGACAGAAGTCCACCACCAAAGTGGGAAGCGGAATCCTGAACCCCAGCCTGAAGGGGTACGCGTAAAAGACGCAGTACCCCGCGTGGCCGGTGTGAACCCTTTCCTCGCTCCGAGCAAGGACTATATCGGCATGGGTAGGTATGACCCCCTGCTCCCTCAAGCGGGCCATACCAACCTCCCCCATCAGCGGCGCTTCATCCATAGGATCCTCCCCTCCATCGGCGGTAAAGTCTATCACCGGACCTCCGGGCAGGGGGAATACGTCGTCCACTGACGGAACTCCTCCGGTTTCCGCCTGCTCCACATCTCCCACTGCCGGAGGTGGTCCTTCGATCACCGGGGGATTAACCGGCAAGTCAACCGGAAGAGCTTCACAAGCAGAATTGCCTGCCATCACTTAGTTGTTCGAAGAAAGAAGAACCGAATTCGGTAAGAAGGGTAGAAGTTTATCGCAATCAAGAAAAGAAAAAAGTGAATTTTGCAGAGGGAGAAAGTTTCAGAATCACTCAGATGAACAATGAAGTGACGAGAAACCAATACCTCAATTCACCTTTATAGGCAGCATAAATGGTTTCGGGAAAACCAATGGATATCATTAACTGCATATCCAACCGTCAAAACGGTTCGATTCTACCAAGATATACGCCATCATGGCAAGCACCAAGGAGTGTCCATTCGACCTCAGTCGTCGTCCCACTAACCGTAGCGAACATAAGGCCCTGTCAAGACGGGCAGAACGCACTATGCATCCTCGAAATCTCAAATACACTGCTTATACCGTACCCAGGCATGTTCCGTACGACCCATCTCTTGTCACCAACGACAGTTACGTATCGAAACGAATACTGGAATCAGAACGTAATCAGATTTCGACCTCGCCCGAACTGCATTAATGGCATCATGTGCCCTCACGACGCGGAAGTATCTGTTTCATTCGTCTAATGACTTGGTGGTATGGAGAAGTGATGCCGGAAAACTTTGCAAAATCCGGGCCGTCGCCATAAAAGAACTCGACCTCGACCAGAACGACGGTTATCCATTCCCTATTCAAAGTCCTGTAGGTTACTATCGACTAAATCCGCTCATCGAGCTCGTGCGAGGAAAGACCTCGATAATCGGAGGGACTAACTGTATGGGTCAGAATTCCCCTATAATAATCAACGGAGCTAATCATTTTTCCTGGTTAATTCAAGTTTAATAAGTGGTACGACCGCTCATAATTAATTACGCTTAACGACCCCCTAAGATGATTAATACGGCTACGGCCCATCTGCTATCCCTAAGATAATACCTCTATGTGGTCCTAGAACCAAAAGCCCAGCTGATGCAGCTCACAACTATATATACCAAGAAAGGAAACCAAGAAAGGGGTTCCTCTCTTTCCCCATGGGGACTCTCCAAACAAAGAGAGAGAAAGAGAGAGAGGGAACGACAGATAAGAAAAAGACAACCTCACAAAGAAAGGCAACATGATTGTAAGGCTCTGAACCTCTCCATGGAGAGGCAGACCACACCATTATCATCAATAAAAGTTGTCAATATTTCCCATCCTAATTGGAGATATTCTTAGTTATTCCTTTTCGTTATTTGGTTCTTGGAATATTACGACTTGCTATGATTGGCCCATAATTTATGTATATTGTTTTGTATTCACAAGAGTATATGATAACTTTTGAATCAAACGATCATCAAGTCTCAAATTTGTTCCTCCAATGTTCCCTAGCATAGTAATTGAAATTTGCAAAAAAGATAATTCGAAGGTATTTTGTCGATTAAATTATTGGGTTATCTTTATCTGTAAGTGCCTCTTAATTGTATCGTTATCAGGAAAATGTTACTAGTAATGTCTACTCTAGCCACTCTCGTGTAGCCCCCTTCCCCTTATTTTATTTTTTTAAAGTTTTGATCGTTCTTTGTCACAATTTATCCCCAGCATAAATACTATTTGAAAATCAAATTTGTTTTTACTTTACTATAAGCTGCACTGTTCTAACAAGCAAATTAAAAAAAAAAAAAAAAAACTGAATTTTTATATTGTTTCATGTATTTTTACAAGCAAATTTTATATATTTAAAGTTAAAGAAACTGAAATCAATGCAAATATTAACCCCATTTTGAGATGTCAAAACTCAAAATATACCCGGTAAGCACACCATCCAAAGACAGATTTTTACATGGATGACACACCAATGTAAACTTTGCGATATTTATATGCATTGAATTAACTTAGCAGAATATTGCAGATAAATACAGAGCGATCCTCATGTATCAAGATATAATCAGACCTTTCTATAACAGCATCCTTATATAATAACACTTCTTTATAAAAACCAAATTTTTCCGGAACCAAATCTCATGTTCTATAATGATATATGTTTCTATATCAGCAATTCGCTATAACATCCAATAATATTCGGAATAAACGATATAGAGAGATGTGACTGTACAACAATAATCAGTCATCCGTGTAACTCACTAATACACTATAAATGAATGACCCATTTCTGACTTATTATTAAAAGAAATTAATGACCCATCTTTTGCTGTGCTGTTGTCAAACTAAGGACATTCAGTGCAATAATATGTTATGCAACTTAAAGAGGAGCTGCAAGTTTCATCATCAGCAGCAACAAGAACGTGGTAGCAGCCGAAATGCCCAGATTCCTGCTATGATGTTTTCTTGCCCACGCTAGCTCAGGATCTTGAAAGCTTTATAACCTCTCAAAGTCAAAAAGAGAGCAAGGCGACTGCCTCTATAAAAGCTTCAATCTACCAGTTACATCATCTACCATCTCAGCTGGACCTAGAATAGTATGTATAATAATTATTTAGGGCCAATTCTGGTTTATTAGGATTTCATGCATTGAGAGGGTGCAGAGGTCATTTCCAGCCTTCATACCTGCATGTCGTAACAAAACACAACTGCATCATTTGTGAATCATAAATCATTAAAAATTAACCAAGTACAATACAGTAACAGGGAAGTTCAATATTAATTGCACGTTCACTAACTGTACAAACAAAAGTCAAGATTTGAGATCATAAAGCACATCTTTTAGTTGAATATTGTTTTTTATACGCTGTTTTATAGTTTAATATTGCTATAATAGGAAGATGGGGTTTTCCAGTGAAGTACCATGAGCTCTACATGTCTAGCGCGGTTTTAAATTGTTATAACAGAAAAACATCATCAATAAATGCAAACAGGGAGTTGGAGTTTACCAGCAAAGCATACCATGAGTGCCACATATCTCTACTATAAGTCATTCTCAGACAAGGGCACAGCACTAGACATTAAGTGTGTAAAGAAATCATCAGTAAAGCCTCCCTGAGAAGAAACAAATAGTAAGCAGGATCCTGAGATCCCAAAGGTAAACAATCTACAATTTATTACATCTCAAATAAGAACAAATATATTTAAAACATATGCATGAAGGTACTTATCCATCATAATTCTTAGTCTTTACCATGATATTTAGCTTTTACAAAGCTCCTTCTGATGTAAGGACAGTTTCGAGGAGTTATGCCTTAAATCCATCAACAGCTTCCACCGAAGCTGCATGTCACTCATTCTAAAGCTCTTCAATGTTAGCGCCCAAAGTATCAAAGAAGTACAGACAGCTGTATATACAAACAAAGAAGATAGCAGTAAGATATCTAATTATGCCCAAAGAATTTGAATTCTAAGATAGGGAATGCCCGTTTAAAGTTGGGACAAAATTTCCAAGATTGTGGTGAATTAACTCAGAGAAATAGTCAAGCATTAATCTTGTAGTGGTTACTTACTTAACAGGATTGGTGCGATTAAAAAAGGAGGCAACACTAAAAGAGGGTCTAACCGGTTCTTCAATGTTGCATTCAACACAACATAAGCTAGCTCCTCAAATTCCTGACACTAAAATGGTCAAAAGCCTGCTTATACCTAGCTCTGTTCGATAACTCCAATTTAAAAAATGAAAATAAAAAGAGAAAGGTAACTTTGATGATATCAGACTGTAATATGGAAGTTCTTGCCCCAAGTCTACTCAAACTCAAAATTGGAACGTTCAGCACAGATGCAACACTTGACAAAAGAGTAGGCGTTAGTAGTTAAATTAACCACAGAACACAGTATATTTGCTCTTCCTCTTACTTGAGGAAAGCAACTCAAACAGGTAGTTCAGATGGACAAGTAATCACTTACAAATATAAATATGATAACGGTAACTAATTCAGCCAATTTCTTCTTTTTTACTGAACATAGAGAAGAAGATTGCTCAAATCAATTGAGTAAAAGATCACTCAAATTTTCAATCTTTTACCATTCAAAACTACAACAAACTAATAGCACGAAATTTTACATCATGTAAGAGGTCACTTACATATGCGCGTGTTCGTAGAAACACTGGCGACTTGGAAAATGTACCACAAAAAAAAGGTTTCAATACCTGCACAATAAAGACACACCATTAACCAGTAATATCTACATATTTCACCTAAATAGATGATAATGTCTTAAGTGATGAATAAAAATTAGTTTACCAAACAACGGAAACAAAAGAAGGAAGTAACCCAAATAAGTAAGTTTAGCAGTGAAAGGAATGCCCACACGCAATCTTCAGTATCACTTCTAGGTTCCCAGCTGATATATTCTCAGAAACTAGGACACAAAATTTATGAACATGTATCATATGATTGAACATATCGGGTGAGGTCATGCATCTAACTAGGATTTTCCTTTAAAGCAAAGACTGTTCCATAGGTAAAATAACCAGCTACTGGAGGCAACATCTGTGACTCCGATAAGATTAGATGACCAGCAGAAGACAGCATCATGCGATTCTTAAAATAGCTCCATTGCTGCATTAGCAATAGTAATAAAGAGCGATAATAATAGGGCAAAAGTGATATCAAGGGGAAGCTGATCATACAGCATCATCCTACTCAGGCACATCATGCTGAAAAGCTATCAGGCTGTTAGTATATAAAAGATGTCTCAAGTTAGATTAACAAAAAGATACCTGTAGTTTATGTCTCTGTCATGTTGTCAACAATTTCCTTCAAGTCTTTTAAACTGCAACCTGGTATTCTTTCTATTCCTCTCTTCTTCATCCTCTTCTTTGTCTGAGCTACTTCATCCCAACGACCTGCTGCAGCATATATGTTGACAAGCAACAAATAATGCCTAAAATTCTTGGGATCTTCCTCAATCAACTTATTTGCAATTTGTTCTCCTAAAATTACATCCCCTTTAAAGCGGGCTGAGACAAGTAATTCAGACCACAATGAGGATTCCAGTGGTAAATTGCTCTCCGCTGGTATGTCCTTCATTGTTTTTATTGCCTCTTGCATGAGGCCAATATTTGCCAGAAGATTAGCCATGCACCAATAATGTAAAAAATTGGGCTTTATACCAAACAAATCACTCATGTCGCCAAAGTGTGTTCTTGCTTCTGTTAACAGTCCTTCACGGGCACAAGCGCATAAGACACCCACAAATGTGATTTCATCTGGCAGCACACGATCCCCGTCACCTTGCTTCATGTTCTTAACATGATCCTTTTCTGTACCTTCTAATCTACTGCTCAGCAAGTCTGCATACAGATTAAGCCCATCTTTTGGGTTCCCATGAATGCAAAACCCCAAAATCATTGCATTCCAGCAGACTATGTTCTTGACCGAAATCCGATCAAAAATTAAACGAGCAATTTCTGCTCTTCCGCATCTACTATACATATGGATTAAGGTCGTACTAGTAATCAAATTCAAATCTTTAGATACCTTAATAAGAGACCCGTGAACAGATTTTCCTTCTTTCATCCGAGCTGACCGAGCACAAGCAGTAAGCACAATAGCTACAGTTGCATCATTCCCATTCAATCCCCTCTGTGCCATTTCTCGGAACAACTTTAGGCACTTCCCAGGGTTATTCGACTCCAAATACCCATTCATCATGACATTCCACCCAACTAAATTCCTCCGTGGCATTGCATCAAACAACTGCCCCGCAGCCACTAATTCACCCATTTTTACATATCCATTCACAATGCTGTTCCAAGACACAGCATCCCTCTGCGGCATTTCATCAAACACCTGTTTAGCAAGACCAATAAACCCACAACAACTATAACAATGCACCAAAGAATTCTGAACATGCAAAACTCCATCAACACCATTTTTCACTAATTGTCCATGACACTTCTGACCCAAATCCAAATTACCCGCTTTAGCACAAGAACTCATGAGGGGCGGGAACGTAAAACTATTAGGCAAGAACCCATTTTTAAGCCTTTCGAAATAGAACACAACAGCATTATGTGGAACAGAACTACAAGCATAAGCTTTTATAACAGTATTAACAGAAAAGGTATCAGGAAAATCAATGCATTTAAATACCAAAGAAGTATATTCAACATCACAATGTTGAGTACAGAGATTCAAAAATCTGCAAGAAAATGAAGGGTTCTGTACTTGTAAAAGACCAGTTATTATCAAATGAGCTTGGATTTGAAAGAGCTGAGCTAAGCTTTTACAAGAATCCAGAAAGTCTAAAGCTTTGGATTGATGAGAAGCTGAATACGAAGAGAATAGCGATCGTTTTGATAAATGAGAAGGGGTTGTGAATGGGATTAAGTGTTTAATGGAGATTCTTGCTGCCATTCATTACTATGGTTTTTGGATAGAAAATCAACAGATTTTAATATTTGGATGATATAACAAATACCCAAAACTCCGAAAGAGGTATTTACAAAGAAAGTTGAAATCTTTGTAAAATTTGAAGCAACGGGGAGGGAGGAGGGAGGGTGGACAATCCAAAAAATGAAGAAGAACGGCAGGGGATTTTTCTGAAGCGTTTTTTTTATTTTATTATTGGGCTTGAAGGTAGAATATGGGCTTGCTATACTCAATTTGGACGGCCCAACTTCATGGACCCAATGAATCCACAATGTATTTTAAGGTCTCATTTGTTTGCAGTGAAGTAATCATTTAAATGTTAGTTTTTAAGCGTATTTTATTTTAGGACTTAATAATAATTCGGATCTTAATAATTAAGTATCTTTATTTTATTTTATTTTATTTTAATATCACTTAATTGGTCTGAATAGTTTTGAATAATTTAGATCTAAAGCAAAGTTTTTTTATATTATTAAAATGTTAATTATTTGAGATTTCTGAAATGAAGATTTTTCACTACTATCCATCCACTCCCACCGCTACTCACCGCCTTCGCCCATTATTATCAACTACCATAAATCACAAGACCACAACTACCGTTACGGTTAATCATTACAGTTAGTCCCACCAACTATCATTACCAGAACCGCCACGATTAGCCATCATTATATAGTATCAACCGCTATTAGTCACGTATCACTATTATCTATCACCTTCATCCACCATAATTATCATCCATCGACACTACCGTCATATACCACCATCTTTAACCATTATTATCAGATATTATCACCGCTAGTTAATCCGCAACCACCATCACCGCTAACTGCTACCGTCAGTCATCACCACAAGCATCATTATTAGTCATCTCCACGTCTAACGACTATTCTTGTATTTCTTATAATATTAGATTAATCAGTGTTTTTAGCTTTAATATTTTTATATTTTCACATGTTGAGAAATACAAACTTTCTTAATTCATTACTATTCAAATTATAATATAACATTTTGATATGTATTCAGATCCATACGTCTTAATCTTAATTAAAAAATGTGCCTTACACTGAGTCATGGCTTGTGAGGTTTATGCTAGAAGTCGAGGGTTTTTCGAAAATAATTTCTCTTTTTCTTCGGAGTAGGAGTAAGGTCTACGCACACACTATTCCCTCCGGACCCCACTAGTAAAAATTTACTAAGTCGTTGTTGTTGTTGCTTCGAGAAGAATCAATCCATTACACTAGACAACTCACAAGTAGAAGAGAAAGAGGGGAATTTCCACCTTTTTAGCTTTATGTTTTCTTCTCGAGTCGGTGATCTTGATGCTGTAAAGACTATATATGCTACAATCCCGTATCTTTTAGTCAATTGACAATTATGACCCTTTAAACTAAATATATTTTCCAAGTAAAGCATAAAGAATCTTATAGCATGTATTAATATAAAAATATATGGTATGTAATAAACATGAGGGCAAACTAGGCAATCTGAAATATAATTGCAACCATTTTAAGTCATTGTACACAGATTTGAATAATTTGCACAATCATATAATTCAAAGAGTTTCTCCTCTGTTATATTGTTATGAACATGTCCAGTCCTAATTGCAAAAGATCAATGCCATTTGGGTTGATAAAGATTCTAGTCTTTTTGATCTTCTTCTCAAATATTCCCTTAAAATCTGGTAAGAATTTGATCTTTTTCTTTCCATTTGACATGTAATTATTTACATAGGAAATTTTCTATCTTGACTTGTTTTGACTAGATCTAGACACATAACTATAGCCAATCATTTAATGGATCAGAAGTTATAAATCTCATTTTAGCCAAGAATTCAGATCCATTTCCCTGTTTTACCTTTCAAGATTTGGCAATGAAATCTAATAGTCCTATGCCACTCAAGACTACTACAACAACAATAATATATTCGGTGTATTCCTAGACGTGAGGTTCGGGATGGTAGTATGAATGCAGGCCTTAATCGTACCTTGTTGTTAGGATCGAAATAATCAGGTGACGTATGGAAGCTAGTAAAGCAAATCTTGAATGACGATAGATTAAATAATACTTGTTAAGGTAGAGAGGCTGCTTCCGGTTGTGCCACTCAAGAGTGGAAAAAAAAGGGTGTGTTTCTGTATCAGTCAACTACGCGTTAATCACAAACTAGTTCGGATTAAGCTATATGAATCTCCTTTTAAATGAATGTTGCCCTAATTGGATTTGTGTTTTTTGTTTATGTTTTTATGGTTAGAGGGACAGTTTCATGATTGGTGCATAGCTGATGAACAGACACCAGATGATGAGCTGTTACAGGCACTCAGTTGGGCATGTGGCAATGGTGCAGATTGCAGCAAAATACAAGAAAATCAGCCATGTTACCTCCCAAATACAGTGAGAGATCATGCTTCTTATGCATTCAATAGCTACTACCAAAACTCAAAGGCAAAAGGGGCTAGTTGCTACTTCAATTCTGCTGCTGTTTTAACTGCTCGTGATCCAAGTAAGTTTCCTAGAAGTTAGAGCGCCGAAACCTGGTTCGGCCGAATCCAGTAGTTTCGGTTCGAACTCTGTACTTGTCTTAAAATTTTTATTGAACATAAATAAATTATTAATTTAGAACCCAGTAACATAAAACGATTAAAATTTCGAACCCATAAGCCTGGAATCCTAGGTCGGCTTATGAGAAAATATACAAGAACTCACTCTTTTCATATTTGGTTTATTCCATATGATGTTTCTGACCTGCATTTAAATGGAAAATTATGATCGTGAGGATTCATATAGCCGACCCCAATTGATTTGAGACTGAAACATATATTGTTGTTATTATATATACTAGACTCTTTTGAAGTGCCTCAAAGATAGTGATTAATTGTAATATATAATATGTTGACAAAATAATTTAATTCTTGCTTTTTATTTTCTATTGACAGGCCATGACGCATGCAAGTTTGAGGTTATTCCTTGATCCATCTTCTTTCCCAGATTGGAAGAGTTAAAATTTGTGTTTTTCTTGTTATTCCTTCTTTTATCTATTTCTTTTTTTTATTATTACTCACATAAACGTTACAAAAAATTTAACTACATGAAATGATGTGAGAATTTTCATTTGAATATCCAATGCCATTCTTCACCCTTTTTTTTCTTCTTTTTCTTTTATTTCTTTTCCCTTTTTATTTATTATACTTTATGTTATTGTCTTGCCGTTTTAAGAATGATCTCAATCCAAGTGAACAAAAAGATTAAGAATTGATTCCATCAATTTCATGTTACCCTTGTTTGGATTCAAGCTTATTACAGTCCAACAAAAATTAGTTTTTTTTATTTTCATAAAGGCGTTGGGAGCTCTGGTTTATTATGCATTAAAGTAAAGAGAGTTATCACAGTGCACTGATCTGAACGAAATAGTCCTTAGTAAATCTTTACGAAAAGTAGAGAAAGCAAATAAAGGCGGTTCACTCCAAAAGTGTTCGCCACACTCGGTGTTAGTATGTGAGTTACCGTTACTCCCAAACTACGCTAATATATTTCCTTTACAGTAGACATACCTAACTTCCGGCTGGTCCAGTGCGTCCAGCAGGAACCTGTGATCATGGAGAAAATTAGCTTTCTTGTGAGAGTTGTCATGTATAGTAGGTTTAGTAATAATTAAGAGAATGTATAATAGTAAAATCAGTGGCTGATATTTAGTTAATTAGTTTAAGGTGTAAGATCAATTGAACCCATAATTTTTTATTTAAACCATGTGCAAACACTGAAAATTAGTATAAATAATATTATGTTTTGAATTTTACTTTCAACGAAGTCAGGACTTAATGACCACTTCCTCCAACCGAAGTTTAAGCTAAACTCGTAATATTAAATTCAAGATCTGTCACAGGATACCGTTCATCTTAAGATTTAATTAACCTAAATCTCCAAATATTCATATTTTTAAAGTCTTGGTGGATAGAATTATTTGTTTCTGTACCCCATAAAATTAGTCAAGTGCGCGCAAGCTGGTTCGACAACACATTGTTATAACAAAAAAAGGTTCCAAGTTGCTCTTTCACGCAATCATCCCAATTCCTAAGAAAAAAATAATTGCTAATGAAAATATAACCTCATTAAATATTCTCGATCTCCAGAATTCATTTTATTTTTTATTTTCTAGAACGGCTAACGCACGTCATGAGTAAATAAATATCTAAGTAAATTAAATTAAAAAAAAAAAAAAAAGAAGAAGAAGAAGAAGAAGAGGAAGAGGAAGAGGAAGAGGAAGAGGAGGAGGAAATCAGGTGCATGAAAGTCGAAGAAATTGAATGAATTAACAAGAGATCTAGTTATTAGCACGAGAGTAACAGCTAGCTATAGCACATAGTTGAAAAATCAATATTTATTAGTCTTTTGCAGTTGATTCTCCGAGAAACTGAAATAAGCAAGCTGACAGTTTTGGTAATAGATTTTAAAACTTAAAAGCAGAGTAAATGTCAAGGGTGGTCATTCAACTTTGTGTTCATTACCTAAAAATCATTTTTCTCCTTTATATGACTTAAAAAGTATTCAACTTTGTGTTTATTACTCAAAAGTCACTTTTCTTTCTTTCTTTTTTTACACAAATATTTTTTACTTTGCTTTATTTGTCATAGAAGTCACATTGACCAGATTTTATAATACTTTTACTTAAAAGGTCTATTACGCCCTTGACATTATAAATCTTCTCATGTATGTAATACCTTCTATATTATATACTGTATAATATATTTTTACCTAGGTGTTTAACTTATAATTAAAATAACTTTATATTATTTTATTTAATATTTTTATAATATATTCATACATGTAATTTTTTATGGCACTCAATTTGTTTAATCATATTCAAACATGATATATTTTAAATATAAAAATTATAAAAAATATTTATTTTTAATATTTATTTGCAATAATAAAAATAGATTTGCTTAACAAATGATCATAAGAATTTAGAGAAAGTTTCAAAGATATTTGCTTTTAATATTAAGTTTTTTAAATTTTTATCTGTTAATATTATTTATTTGACAGTATTAATCTGATGTGTCATTGTGCTAAATATAAGTATTTTATTTATTGGATTAATGGGTATGGCTTGGCTGATAAATCAGTGAGCTTTGGTTTTATAATTTTCATTAAAAATATTTCAT